CTTTCCCTTGTTTTCTTAATTTGTTTTCTCTTTTCCCCAATAAGAGGGCCGCGAGGAATCGAGAAAGATCAAATGCACACCCACAAAAGAAGCATATATATATATATATATATATATATATATACATGTATATATATATATAACCAGAGATAGAAGGCGAAATCGTGATCAATGGAACAGAACTTGGTTACACAACAAGCTTGAGGGACAAACGAAACGGGAAGATCAAGGACAGGACATTGGTCAAAAAGCACACCAGTGAAAGGAAATGGAGACAATAAAAAAAAAGGAAAAAAGGAAAGTCAGGGAGAAGAGGGATTGGGGGAGAAGAGAGGACGACGATACTCGTCGAAGAAATGGTCCCTATCCACCAACACTATGGCGTACAGCGCGTATATTATCCCCGGCACGTACCCCAGAATCGTCAGGATCAGACATATCAGAAACTCCGTCTGCAAATTAAAAAAAAAAACATAAACATTCGACGCAGCGAGAGAGAGAGAGAGAATGAGAGAGAGAGAGAGAGACGCACACTGCAGCAGCCGTGCCGGAAGCAAACCCCGAGCGGAGGGATGAGAACGGCGATCAGTATTTCGCAACAGATCTCGCACCCATTCGGCATCTTTCTTCTCTTCTGTCCTGTCCAATTTCCACTCGTGCTTATATTTATAACGGTGACAATGAGAAACGACATCGTTTTGGCATCCGATCCGTTGATTTTGCTGGCGAATAACGGCTTTTGACAGAGCACAACTAACTCTGTTTTGTAATAAGCGTCCGTCCTTGATGTGGCTCCGACTTTCATCGGACGTGGCCTCCACCCCTTCTTGCAGGACATTTTAACCTTTTCACTTCCCGTCACTGTAAAAACGTACATTTTTACCTAAATTTACCCGTTCTTTCTGCCTGGATTTTTTAATCGGACGAATGCCACGTCTTTTCATTTTGTTTGGGAGAGAGGGTGAAATAAAAAAGGACACTTTGGATGGATGGTCCATTTTATGGATATAGTTTTGATATCTCCATCCATTGTTCAAATGCAATGACTATACATCTACTTGGTCAATTTGGTTTATAACCGAATGAACCGATCCAAACCAAATAACACGTAACATACATGAATTAAATCTGATATAGAAATTCATAGTTACTATTTTTTTAAATCGGAAAAACCGAAATTAAACAAAAAAATTTGAAAAAATGAAAATTTTTATAAAAAGAATGAGTATTTTTTTAAACAAACCGAAACCAAACATAACCTGAGTTGAACAGAATGGAAGTGAACTAAATCGAATATAAAAATTGAATGATTATTGTTTTTTTTTTTAAATTGAAATATTTGAATCCCAATAAAAACATAATCAAACCGGAACATCCAAAAGCCGTTGGTGACCTAGTTGCTAATGGGCTCTGATCACATTTAAATGGGCCTTACAAGAAGCCCAATTACTAGAGAGATCAAAAGCAGTGCCTCCTCGATTCCGATGGGACAAAGGGGGAGGGAAGATGGTTGGTGCGAATCTGAAAGCCGAGACGATGGCTCTCATGGAGCAGAGAGACGCCATGGAAGCTGACATGAACTCCATCATCCACCGCCTCTCTCAGCCTGGCGGTCCCGGCCTTTCCGGAAATCTCCTCGATTCCGATGTAAATTCACCCTCACTCGCCCCTCAGTTTCTCCTAAATTTACCGACATAATCTATGATCATCGTCTTCGATTTGGTCTATTACTGGCAGGGTTTTCCTCGTCTAGATATCGACATTCCGGCGGTGAGGGCAGAGCGCCGTCGTCTTGCCGGTATTTCTCTCACGCTGTTTCTGTCCTTCACTTTATTTACGATTTTGGACATTGTCTTCCGCTGCTCAAGCTCCATTGGCTCTATCAGCACGGAATGTTGACACATCGAACATACATCTTTTGGTCTTGACTGATAGTCTTTCTAATCAGAGAACCCTCCAGTGATTAGCATCAATGGCGTAGATTATGCGTAGCTGTTAGTATTTGCCGTTGTAGCGGGTTTATATCTGCTGTTTTCTACATATTGTTGATACATACATTGCTCTATCCGTTTGAGTTGATCTTCTTTCGGAACCTCGGTTCTTTAAATTCTCTTAACCACAGAGCTACGGAACAACCACAGGGAGCTAACAGAGAAAATAAATGCAAACATTCAAATTCTACATTCGGTTAGGCCTTCTTCTAAGACATCATCCACTAATAATTCAGGTATGGCAGTACTCAAGGTTCAAGCTTGTAGTCGAATCGAAACCCTTTGATGGTTTCATTGATTTGATTGTTTCTGGTCTTCTGCCCCTGCTGTAAACGTTGGACGTTCGTGGATAGATGTTTTAAAGCCCTATAAATGATCTGCAAGCTGCTTTGTGACATTGCATTGTACTATAGGTTATGATGTGTGTTCAGAAGTACAAGTCTTGCCTGCTGCACTCACTTCATTGTCTGCCTCCGGAGCCATGGATGTGGATGTGGGTGCTAGTAGTATCCCGTTTGCTATGATTGATGAGATAACCGAATCATCTCCAGCGGCAGAGGATGGCTTACAGCTCGGAGATCAGGTTGTGAAATTCGGCAACGTGGAGGCTGGTGACAACCTGTTGCCAAGACTCACTGCCGAAGCTCAGTCTAAACAGGGTCAAGCAATTCCTGTTGTTGTAGTAAGGCAAGGTGCATTGGTCAACATACCTGTCACACCGAGGATATGGCAAGGCAGAGGTCTATTGGGGTACATACGGTTTCTATATTTGTAACTTTGATCTTTTCTTGGAAGTGTTTTTTTTTTGGCTACTCATCTGTGTCAAATCCTTGCAGGTGCCATTTCTCTGTGCTATGACCAGCATTTGCTTCCATGGATGCCCTTTAGAGACCTGATTTTGGTTGAAGCTTCTGTTTTGTGATCAATTGCTGGGCGATGGGTTTGTAAAGAACATGTCTGAAAACTTACCATGTCCAAACGGAGATCAATGTCAATGAGAAACTGTGTTTTTTTAACGGGTCAATGTTCTGATGGCATTCAAAAGCCTGCACGGTACGAGTGGTATTTGCCAATGATACTATACTCTATGAAAAGGAAATGGGTTTTGGCGTTTTTGAATTTTCAATTTGATAATTTAATGTCCCAATTTTTAAGATGTGCAAAATTAATATCTCAATTTCAGGAATTGATTTAGGCGTTTTTGAACATTTTAATATTTAGGATTTTATATTGTCAAATTAATTTGCAGGTATACTTAGAAAAAATTTGAGGTTTCGAAAAAAAGAAAACTTTGTTTTATCGTTCTCGGCCCAATTCCAATTCTGATGACTCTTGTTTTGGTGAAAGAGAAACATTCATAGATATTTGTTTTGTTTAATTCATTTATATACAAAGAGTTAGCTTTTCAGTAAAATTTTATGTATGTATAAAATTTGATGTGTGAACAGTAACAGTAACGTGACATCGTTATTGTTCACGTAGGAAATCGACAAATATTTTGAAAGTTGGTTTATTTTCTGAGATATTGGGAAAATTGATGTATTTTTGTCAAGTTTATTGTCTCAAAAGTTGATTAATTATATATAAGTAAATATGTTGATATAAATTTTTGAAATAAGCAATGGCAAGAAAAAGAGACGAGAATAGAACTATAGAAGATGGAGGGTGAACCACATTGCGTTCTTCAATCCCACGACTCGAAACAACCGACAAAAACTCAATGATTATTATTTTTTTTTGTCTTCATTGATAAGCTGAGAGAGAGGGAGGACAAAACAAAACCCTAACTTAAACAGCATAAAAGCTGCTTCCCTTTTTCCACTACTTGGCCCAACATAACTGAGTTACAAAATACTTGTAGCCGACTGATAAAGAATACTATATATATATATATACCATAAGAAGAAGAAGAAAATCCCACCGACCGCTTCGATTTCTCAAATCCTGAAGGCCGTCTTAACAGTGCTCATGTTCTGCCTCCATTTTGACTTTCTCTCGGCCTGCTTTAGGAGCTTCTTTGAAGCCCGGATTTGGAACTGATTTGGCCCTCCGAACTCCATTTTATTCCTCTTTATCTTCTTCCTCTTCCCTCTATCATATTCCTCATCCCTGCCACCGTTAATATCATAAACCCATTTGGTCAGTACAAGGCAAAGCCAAAACACTCGATGGTAAACCCTCCAACACTTACCATTCATCTCCTACATAACCGATACTGCCATTCTCACTCTCCGGTCTTGTAACATGGCCAGAAGTTTGCTCTTGATCGTCCCATTTTCCAACTGTGACAATAAAAAAAAGTATTAAGCCATCAAAGAGCTTTTGACACTGCAGCTTAGCCAGTTTGACAGTACAATTCATGTGCAAGAACACATACCCGTGGTCTCTGGCAAACCCCGTGTGAGAATGCTCAGAGCTGCTTTCTCGTACTTGACTTGTTCATCTTTTGAAGAAGCTCTCTTTCTTTTGGCTTGTTGACTTACTTCAGACACATCAGAGTGGCCGACCGGTCGCTTCTCCGATGCAAGAACAGAACCATTTTGATTAGTTCTATCCTTGAGTTCTCCCACCACACCGTCTATCCTTGTATCTTGGGCACGAACACTATTATCTTTCTCAAGCAAATGAGTGGAGCCAGAAGAAACTCTGCTAGTTGCCTGTGAAGTCGAAGGCTCTTGATCTGCTGCATTTTGCCGAGATAAAAGCTGCTCTTCGGGTTTACTCTTGACAGCTGAGGCTCTTAGTTTTCCCTTTTTGTGCTTCCCCTTCTTACGCAAACCCAGAGCCAGCTTAAAAAATTTTAAGCCCATGGACATGTTTCTCTTGTGAGGCTTGTGAACCTTTCTTGGTGTGACAAGGGTCACGCTATCAGAAATTGAAATCTTCACCGACTCAGTGGACATGTCACATGGGATTACTGCTTCATCAGCTCGCTGTGTGACCAACTTCTGATGATTAAGTACAGCTTTTTTGGTCAGCGAATTACCACTTGTCGCAGTCTCAATCTGGAAAGTAGTAGACAGACAGGTTAAAAACATCTCACCACATCATCAAAACTTCTAAGTTTTAAAACAGCAGGCTCACCTGACTGGTATTACAGTCTGGCTTCTCTGGAGGCTTTGCCAAGCCAGCATTTTTGCGGGAATTTCTCACTGAAGCTACAACTGAGACCTCCATGGATGTCTTGTCAACAGGATCTCCAATCTTGGTGGCATTCGAAAGATTAACCTGGACAGGTGGATTGTCTCATTAACTATACATAATATTAGTCATGATAAGCGAAGTGCTGACCCAGGATGATAAAAAAATATTAACTTACTTTCCGTGTAGTCTCATGTGAAAAGCTGGCAGTACATGATAATACATCAACAGGTGCACTCAATCTGTTCACAGAACTCTTCTCCTTGATACAGTTTCCAGACATGACACCAGAAGTTGGGATGTTTCCAAGACTTTGAGTGAAACTAGTTCTAGTCAGGAAAGGAGATACTGGTTTAAAAACCTCCCCTTGGTATACTGTCGAAGCAGTGCATTTACCCTTCAAATCCGCCTTTGCCAGAAACCGTTTAGACATCACCATGTCATTAGTTTGCTGAGAAGGTGCCTCCTTCTGAAGGGTTACCCTGGCTGTCAAAATGTTCTCTGTGACTTTGTGATTTCTCGCAGTAGAAGCATCTACATCACATGATTTAATGACTGCAGAACTGTTTACTTCTCTTGAACTAGAAGGGAAAAGCGACGAGGTCCTATTTGTGGCAAGGCTTCCTCCAGATCTATCTTTTGGGACTATTGCAGCTACAGTCTTTGGCGCAGCATTTTTTCTTTCAAGGACATAGAACAGCATATAAGCTTTTTGGTCGAAAACAGTCTTCTCAGCAACTTGTTTAACCTGCAACACCATGTCAAGAGGAAATCGAAATTAACCATCTCTAGTCCTCTTTTCCCTTTAGTCCACATCACGTTCAATGGGAGAGACGTCAATAAGCATTTCATGACAACAGGTAAAATATCACACCAGCACTGGCAAAACTTTACAGATGTTAGTTGCATACCCTGTTATCATCAAGGGAGTACCACATGCCACTTTTCGTGCGAATGAAGCAAGCGTAGTGACCAGAATGAACGCTTCGACCATAGTGAACAAGAACACCATAGAGGTTGTACTTCAGATCACCTTCCTGTTAAGTGCAGGATAAGAATTGTAAAAAAATAATTGACTTGATGGAGATATTCTGACCTATTCCACACACAGGTCAGATGCATAAGGTTACTAGCACAAGAAAATTACTTACATAGGAACCGCTAACAAAGGGTTTCATGTCGATTGTAGAGCCAAACTGAATTTTCTTGTCATTTTTTTCCGAATGATATGCTTCAAACCGCTTAAAATGGAAGGTCAGAATATTAGGTGCTTTAGAAACAGTGAGCTGTTTGACAGCTTTAACTTTCTGCTTGCACCGTTCACATTGGTAAATCTTTGAACCATCATCTAGGAGCTCAACAGCCGTGAAGTGAGAAAGTGCTTTCTGTAATGAATCCGCCCTCGCAATGTCCAGACTTAAATCAAGAAACGGATCAAAAGTATCAGAGCAGTGGGAACACTGCATGCATTTCACCTGGAATAACAAAAAAGCTACTATTAAAGCAGGATGATATAGTTCAATAATTCTTCCCATCTTAGCTAACATATAAATAAGGAAGGTCATGAAGATCACTGATAATCCAAATGAATAAATGTAATATTTTCTAAAGCGAGATAGATTTACCTGACTGCGGAGGCGTCCACCGAAAATTTTGTGCACGAGACTGCTCTTATAAGCATCCAATGACCCACTTGGTACACCAGAAGGCAAACAACACTTGTGCATACATTCCAGCAAATTGATCATGTACTCATGCGCATCCTCCTGTCTGCAATTTCTGAAGTTGCGGGATATGCCTAATCAAACAGTTGGGAATCGATATGAGGCTAATTAGTAATAATGAAAGCATGGTAACATGGTACCAAAGCAGACCAAAAAGACTCTGAGAAGCATACATCTTAAGTTGGAGACCAAATCCTTTGGTGCTAATATTCTGCCATTAGCTTGTAGAGCAGTTCGGACATGTTTCTGAATAGCGCAAAGGGCACAGAACCCAGCAACATGGCCTACAGATAGCATTTAAAATGATAATACACCGAGACGAGAATAGTACACCAAATCATAAAAATAGAAGAAGTAGAAAAGCCCTACTCTCCATTGTTCATGTTAATCAGCCACAGATCGAACTCTATAGAATGATGTAGAAGGACAAATGAAGAAGCTATAGGCAAGAGGAGCCAAAAGCTAAAAACAACTTACATGACTTCTGATGGGCAGCGCTTTGCAGGTAAGCAGCCAAGGGCTCGGTGTATGTCAAACATTGCAGTACCGAATTAAGAAAGCACGTATTACCCAGATTCTCCAATCCAGCACCCTGGATATCATTAAACGATCGAAAAGTAAGATCCGACACCGATTTTACTATGATTTGCAACACAGTTGCGCAAAGCCTACAGAAAACATGAAACGAAACAGAGTCAGAAACGACTCACGATTTTGCGGAAGGTAATGCCGAAACTGAGCTCCGGATCCAACCGCGTCTCCCAAAAGTCGGAGGCATCGGCCCTTTTGACGGGCGTGGTAGCGGAAGCAGGGAATTTCTCGGCGGAGCCTGGATTCAGCGTCTCGATCTTGAAATCGGCGCCGCCATTGGAGAAGCCCTTGAAGGGTTTCCTGGATGGATGAAACTCGATCTTCCTATAGAGGACGGAGGTGGAAGAGGAAGAAGCAGCGCGAGATCCGTTGGGGGGATCCTGATCACTCCGAATCCTTAACTCCGTGCTGCCTATTGCAGCTTCCATCGATGGCTATGGGAGGAATCAAGAGCAACAAAATTGAGGATTCCAATGCGGGAAGAGAGGAAAGAGT